TTCTTTTTGGTGTGTGAAAAAAAAAAAAAAAAAAAAAAAAAAAAAAGCATAACGCTTCCTTATCTTGACTTAACTGTCCTGTATTTAACATTTCATCTGCCAGACCAATATTCCCATCTTTCCTGAAAAGTGTGTAAAAACTCTTACAAAAATTGTGACGTTGTTTTTGACTGAACCTCTTTCGATCTTTAGTGCTGGAGGAATTTTCTATCCTATCTCATACAGGTGAAACTCGAATATCATGCAAAAGTAATTGCAGTAAGTGCTGCTGCTGCAAAAAGGGCCCAAACCAAGTACATATGCATGCTTGTACTTTTCAGAGGTCCGATATTGTTCTATGTACAATCCTTTTTTTAGTGATTGCATGTAATAATCTACTTTTTTGAGGTTGTGGATTTGGGGTTCTTGGGGTTTTCATGAGCTGTAAGCCATAATCATCACAATTATGACAAATCACTGCTTGAACTATCTTGCTTTGCATGTAATGAGTCTCGTATATTAGTTTCACCTTTTAAGTTGCATTAGTGAAATAAATGAACTTTGGACGATATTCTAATTATTCGAGTTTCACCTGTACATAGGTGACCCGCAATGTAACCACACAAGTAAATGAGAGGAAATCTCCAATAAGGACAAAAATGTTTACTGTCGTGTCCTTTTTGGGGAGACAATGTGGTCACCAAAACAGAAATTGAGGTGCTTGTCCCATCCAGTACACAGAAAGCTAATGGGGGAAAAAAAGAGAGCTTCTAACACTTTCCAATCTAAAAATAAATAAATTATAATTTGGCAGTAATTTTGCACTAAAATAAAACCTTAAATAAGAATTATGATGGCTGCCATACCTGACTTCCTCCTTAATATGCTGGTTCCATGGCTCTCTCTGACTAACATTCTCATGGACCCTTCGGTCTTAGCCAGTCAAGTCAAAGCACATGATATGAATACTAGTTCTGGGTAGGGTACTCAGCATGACTAGATATTAAATTGTGGTTTTGATATTTTGCTCAGAACAGATTTTCTTTAAAGTGTATGTAAACCTGAAACAAATCAACTGTTTTCTTAAAACACACACAATTTTTCTGCACTTATACCATCCTCAAGGGCTTGTTCACGCTAAACGCGAACCAGATCTGCATGAGTTTCTGCACATGCAGTGCAGCGTGTTTTGTAGCATTTGGACACGTTCCGGCCCATTTGTTTGCATTTGCATGAATTTTGGTGCGTTCCAGCGCAACTGACCGCTCTGGTGTGAACTAGAGCCCAAAATACCATTGGAATACATTTGGTGCATTTTTGATGCATTCTGTAACTGCTCTGCATCTGCTCCGGCACTTGGTGTAAACTAGCCCTAAAGGGTAAAAAAAAAGAGGAAATCGGAAAGGATATGCACAGATTGCAGATATATACTAATATAGCTACAGTGTCACAGAGCCACAGTGTGTCGTTAATTACCAAACCCAAAACTTCCTGGATGGAGCTTTCTTTTAAAGTTCATATCAAATGTCTACACATTCCAAACCAACATTTACCAACACTGACCCTCCATTTTCAAAATTTAACTAGCCATGCCCAAGTTTGTGCAACCCAAAAATGTACTTGTAGGCAAATGTACGCAATCCGTCTATCCATAAATACACAGAGCGTATATTCCTTTGTCTACTTTTCATGTACAGTGCCATTCCCCACACACAAGCCCACAACACACATTCTGCACTAGTAAAATGACAACCAACAAGAAAAGCGTACGCCAGAGAGCAAAAAGCCTTAATAGTAAGCAGATAACTGATGACGTATGGGGATGCATGTGCTTTTCCTGTCACGAAATAGAAATCAGGACTGCGAGAACAGCCGTCACACACACTTGTTTCTGTGTTGATATGCCACATAAAATTTTATGGGAACAGTAAAACAGTGATTATTTTCATAATCGATTAGTTACCCCATTATTTTTTTCCAACGAATCGATTGGTTGTATAAAATCTCTCTCCCTTGTTGCCAACTATTCTCAAAATCGATTCGTTGTTGCAGCCGTATAATTTACACACATCTAACCACTTGCTGACCGCGTTGTTTGCACCCCCTTCCTGTCCCGGCCATTTTTCAGTATTCAGCGCTGCAGTACTTTGATGTTTATTTTGTCATGCAACGCTGTACTGAAATTAATTTTATATTCATTTTTTTGGGGGGTGGGGGGGTAGATAGAGCTTTCTTTTGGTGGTATTTATTCACCACTGGGTTTTTTTTTTTTAATTACCAAAAAATAAATAAAAAAAAAAACACAACAGTTTTCCCTTTATTATGTTAGGAAACATTTCATATTACCCAAAGGTGGGGCCACGCCAGCTAAATAGACACCAAGCATGTGAAGCCTTAAAATTGAGTGTGCCCGCGAAATCGCAAAAAAACTACCATACCCAAAATTGGCCATAGGCGACACTTTATAAGATTTTACCGCTCATCAGTTTAATGTCATCAGTGATTGATGGCCTTAGAATTATTGCTCTCACTGCGACGATCACAGCAATATGCAACATGTGTGGCGTAATTGACGCAATTGTTGTTTTTGCGTGTAGGTGTACCCAACGTATTGTTGTGCATCTATGTGTGGGTGGGGGACTTTGTGTGTGTGTGTAAATGTTATTTATTTTGTGACACTTAACTTTATCAATAAAGAATCTCCACAAAGGGGTCATGAAGGACGGCCACCCGCATCCAGAAGACTCCTGCCCGGCCGTTTCTGAATGTTCTGCGGACGGGAGGTGATTAAGGCTCCATGCACACGGGCGCCTGGTGATTCCTGCAGCAATAACCTGTTGATTCTTGCATCAAGAATCCCAGGTGTGTCCGTTTGCATCCATCTGTCTATGGTTGTCCACATGTAAATTGTACATGGGACGATTACCTGCGGATTGAGAGAAATGCTTGTCACAGAATGCAAGCACCTTGAAAAAATAAGAGAACCCTACTACAGCTTCGTTCAGCCTTCCTACTACCTGGATTGTCTCCCTGCCATCTGGACAGAGGTGGAGACTACTTGTCCAATGAACAAGCTTGGAGAGGTGGCATAGGAAGCAGTGTTGATGAAGGAAACAATACTCAACTGCCTGGCTGTACAGTGAGGCAGATGTGTGTACATTACAAGAGAGGCTGTTTAGAATTACAAACCCTCACAGGCAAAACAAAAATATCTATTTTTTAATCCCGTTTTTTCACTTGGTTTCCTCAAGTATACTCACAACCCGAATTAATCCAGCGTTTGTGATTCGCTGCTGCATACCATGCCCTGTGCCGCCATTCAATCATCCCCCAACCCCATCATCAGGAGCTGGCTGTCTTCTCGTCCTTACAGTCAGCCAAGGTCCTTGCTCCAGCGATGTGTGATGCCTCAACTGATGCCTTCTGGCATCAGTTGGATATCACAGAAGGCCACAGGAACAGGGCCAACATCATTCTAGCCTAGGCTAGAATGGACCTTGAATCGAGTCTGCTTTAAGTGTGGCATGGGACACAGCATTGGAGAAAGGGAGCATGGATGCAGAAAGAGGGAAACAAAGGGGCCTACAGACAGTGAAGGCTGGCAGACAAACAGTAAAAAGAGAGAAACAGAAAAAAGCCAAGACAAGTAACAATGCACTAAATTTAGAATCATAAAATGTACAGTTCACAGAACCCAGAATAAATGAGTGACCTGTAGCTGAGAAACCTGGACTTTGTGCACCGTCTAACCTGTCAGACTGTGTGCTGGATAAGTCATGACAATAAATGCAGTATAACCAAAATTGGACAAGTCAGGGAAGGCAACTCTAACCAGACTGAATTATTAAGTTGCAGTCTAGCGACACATTGGCCCCCAGCAACCAATCTCCAGCAGTTTAGCAGGGCTAATTAAATCAAGGACAGGTGAGTTATGTCAGCTACAAGCAAACAATAGTGTTTTTATTTTATGGAGGCACAAATCATCTCACGGAGAGGCGACTGAGCACCATGGCTGCAATGCTGAAGTCACACTTAATATCAGATCTCTGCCATGAATGACACTGTGTATCAAAATTGATATAATAACCTTATGCTGGGTACCATATCCTTCTGAGGGCAATAGAGTTTATTATTGAGAGAAACAAAATAAAAGTATAATTTTACAAAAACATTGCAAGGAAGGAAATTGTAAAAGAATCAAAATTATAAGTCACAAAATACACATGTCCATTAGAACAAATGTCTACTGCAAATCATTAAGTAAAGTAAGGTATAATAATACCTAATGATAGGAAGGGAAATTATCTGCATTTTAGGGTTTTCAGGTTCAGCAATTTATTATTTTCAGGATAAGGTATACCAAACATATGCTCATGAAGGGGCTGTGGTTGAACATGCATGATAAAAGAGTAGGGTGTGTGTATTGGGTAAATTCAACGGTGGCTCTCTCAGGAACTAATTTTCCCAAACATTAGGTCAGCAAGACATGTTTTGTTTAGGAGTCCTCCCCTTTACGGCTGGGTTCACACCTAGGCGACAGCGCTTTTGCATGGTTTTACGTGCATAAATCAGATTGCGCCTGACAAATTCTTCTGCGGGAGGTGCACTGTGGTGCCATTCATTTCAATGGCACCCCAAACACGCTTCCCACCTGCAGTGCCATCGCCTGCATTGGAACATGCGGTAGCGACTGCAAAAAATTGTGTATGCAGTTTTATTCTGAAACTAAATAAAATACATTTTGTTTATAACAATCCATTTGTGTATTTTATTTTAAATAAAAGATGGTATTATTATCATCCGATTAATTGAAAAAATAATCTGCCAACTAATCAATTATGAAAATAATTGTTAGTTGAAGCCCTAATTGCTTCTACTCAATGCATATAGTGTTCATGTGATTTTTAACTTCCTTCAGGTTTACACTGGTTTTCTCTTAGCCCTTGGCTATCATTTGTTTAGAGGCCAGAAAAAGAAAAGATGCAAATGTCTGTTGGTGGGCAGCAAGTCCCGGAAGAGTGTAGAAGAGCTATCCAGAGGTATCATGCAATGGTAATGTGGAAATGAGATTGAATGTGGTCAGACATTCTAGGCCAGAAAGAACAGTATTGGACATGGCTATCATACATGAACGCCACAACCCCTAAAGAATCTGTCCCTGTAAGACGGAAAAGCTTTCACTATATGTGTGGGTACCAAATACAACCTAGAGAAAATCTTGTAGGCAGATTTCAAGATGGTAGTGTTGAAGGAACATTTTGCTATTCTACACCAAATTTTACACCCAATCCTTCCACACCACCAAGTGAGGGGGACCCTCCCCCAGACATTTTTTTTTAAATCTGTGCTGAAGGCCTACCCATGACACTGCCTTCTTCCATACGCTAGGAAGTTGGAACAGGATGTGACTCACTTGGTGGTGTAGGAAGTATTCGGGTGTAAAATAGCAAAATGTTCCTTCAACACTACCATCCTGAAGGCAAACTTGTTCAAGGACTGTATTTATGTAGGGGAACTTTGAGGCCCTAATTAGAGGAAAGATTGTCTAATCTGGAATGATGTATAATATTCTGTTTGAGGAGCATGTTATTTTTAAAGTTGCCATTCAGGAAAACAGCGTGAAGTAAAAAAAAAAGTGGTGGAGTCCCAGTGTGGGTACACACCAGATGCATTGGGGCTGCACTGGCCATTTTTCAGTGCAGCCCCAATGCAAGAAAAGGCCATTTTCCTTCTCATGGATTGGCTTGGTTTACACTTCAGCATAGGCATTGCTGTGGTGTGAGCTCAAATGGCTGGTGTCACAGGTGATCACATGTGAGGCGCCAAGGCACTTACAGACCTAAATAAAGGTGGTAGATAGGATTTTGTTCCGCTTTAACAAGAATATTTAGCAACTGATCTATATTAGAATACCAAATGCTGGATAGGATGTTCTGCTTTAACAAAAATATTTTAAAGTTTTTAGCAACTGATGTATATCGGCATTGTAAATTCTTAACATTCAGCCGGATTTTATTCTCTAAGCAGTAACATGAACACCCCACCCCCAAAAGTCAATACTTTTGCAGTATTTGTAGCAAGCTTTTTTTTTTTCCACACTGCTGCTCCACGGAACAATATTTCACCTGGAGTTCTCTGCGTATTCACCAATAGGAGGCTCATTCTGGAAAGATGAACAATGCCAACTAATCCACCTACACAATAGTATAGGGTTGATGCTATAAGCTCTCTACAAATAAAGGAAGGATCAATAAGTATAGTAGCTAGATCCTTTGACATCGGTTTAGGCCATTTTCCTAAGGTATGACATTACAACTATGAGAGGTTGCATAGTAGAACCTGCAAGCAAAAGCAATGCTTGAGAAGGGTTATTCAAAATTTGTCAGTGGCATACTTAAACACTGGTTAATCCTCAACAGGCATGGCCAGTGTTTCATTAAGCGAGATATTACCTGACCCACAGTGGGAACAAACCACTTCTTGATAAATGCCTCCTCAAACAAGTACCATATCTGTAAAGAGTTTGGATGGATTAAATAGTCTATAAGGAGTTTGACAGTCACCATATAGAACAAGGAGTATTTGTGAGGCAGGCTTTGACCAAGCTGTATAGCTCTAACCAAGGTGTAAGAAAATGGGGTCTGTGCTGTCAGGTAAAGGTGCCCATACACTGCTCGATTCTCGTACGAGAATCGCGGGAAATCCCGCGATCGTACGAGAATCGAGCAGTGTGAACGGAGACGTGCGACCGTTTCTACTGTACGGTCGCACGTCTTCCGTCAAACCAGCATGTTCGAAAACCAGCCGGGAATCGTACGATTCTCGGCTGGTTAGAACAGTGCTCGGAAGACAAATGCCGAACGGGCCGGTGTGCGCACGCGCACACTGCCTGTTCAGCATTGCGGTCATCGGAAGCCCGCCCCTCAGGGGGGCGGGCTTGCGATGATCGAGAGTGCGATCTGCCTGTCCAAGATAGTCAGATCGTACGGTTTTTTAATCCCTGTACAACCATCGCAAGACTGAGGTCTTGCGATGGTTGTAAAGTGTATGGCCACCTTAAGAGAGAGTGAATCTCAAGGGTGGATGAACAGAATTGCAGATCCTTGGCACCAAAAACATTTTTGCATACTTATTCAAACTATGTATGCAAAAGCAGAACCGTAGACAAGCAAATAAAGGAATTGTATAGTGACAATGTGTAGTAAATGTGAAAACGAAAAACACGCATAACAAGAACGGATAAAAAAGTAAAATAATGAACATTGGGAGCTTAGCAAAAAAAAAAAAAAAAAAAAAAAAGGAATTGTTCAAAAAT